TTATATTGCTGTTATATTGCCATTGTATTGTATGGTTATTGTGGTTATTTGTTCTATTTCTAAGTTGATTCAATTCTCTTATGAAAATTTATTTGAAGTCTTATACATAGTTTTTGCTCTAATTTTTCGTTTTGAATTATTCGTTAAAGTTTATTTATTTATTCATTTAAAATTTTGGAATTGATGAGATATCTGGTCTAGGCTTGAGATTACCCTAATTTATTGTTCTTTATTGTGATTGTGATTTTAGCTAATGATTGGGTGATGTGTTTTTGTTTTGGGTCATTTGATATGGTTTTGAGATTGGTTTCATATCTATGATTTTGGTTAGTGTTAAAGTAAATAAATGGGTATTTCATTCCTGTGGTTTTTGTGGAGGTACACCATTGTATCATACTTATTTTCTCTTCTGATGATATGGTTCTATAATGTATTTGTTTGGTCAGGCTGGTTTGATAAGTGCATGAGCCGTGCTGAAAAGTGGCAAAAAAAACTTAAAATGCAGAGCAATATGCTCCTTAAATACACAAGTTGAAATGCCTCAGCAGGTTTGTACCTGTCAGTGCATGGATTTAAATGTGTTATTGGCTCTTCAACTTTTATAATATTTTTATATTGTGAAAAATGAAAAGATTATGTTCATTGTATCAAAGTTACCTGTAAGTAATAATATCATGTCGTAGTGAAAGATAAGCCCCTGCCATCATTTAATCTCACTCTGTTATTTACCTTTTACTGAGGCCCTCAGTATAGTCTCTTATGTAGTGTTTTTTGGTATATATGATCACTGCTCTAATTAATTTTTCTACTTGCAGACGAAACTTAAACTTACTGGGAATCCACGTGGTCGTTTAGTGACATATTCAGAAACTCAGAGTCTGATGGTTTGTTTCTAAGAATCTTTTTTCTTCTGGTTGCTGACTTTATCCTGGTTGAAAATATTGAACAGAGGTCTTCGCATTTATTAATTATTATGGACTCATGTAAAGCATCTGTGCCCATTGTTTTTCACAACAAAGAAAGAAAATAACCTATAGATTACACTGCGATTAGATGCTAAAATTAGTAAAGCATTGATGGAGCGTTATGCTTTAGGTTTGCATTCCCTTTGTTTCCAGTTAATTTTACACCATGAGATTGGGGGAAGGGAAAGAGGTCAAATAGGGATTCCTTTAGAGCTATTCCCAATTAATTTTTTCTTTCCAAGATGCAAGCAGGAGGCTTAAGGCTACTGAGAATCATATGCCTGTGATTTCTTTCCCATGCCCTACAAAATTTCTTAGATTTATATGGGGGTGGGTTGGGCCATGTTGTGTATGAAGGTTTGTCTGTCTTTAATAATGATTTCTCTCAGGGTGTAATTCCATTCGGAGCTATCTCATTTGCAATATGTGCTTTATGAACCACTGGGAAAGCATGATGGCATGTAAGTGAGCTCCTGACTCGTGCTATGTTTTGTTTTTGGCATAATTCTTGGTTGACGCTTGGTTTTGTGTGTGTTAAATTGGTGGATGCTTCTCATCTGGTTTTGGCTGATAACATGTAATATTGTCTGGTAGTAAAGATACACTTTTTTGTCCCTTCTACTTTATTATTTTTGTTCTTCCTTTTAGCTAGTAGTGTACATGTTTTGTTACAGCATGCTTTTCTTCATTCTTTCTCTCTTTTATCAGGTTTGGTAAATCATGTTTGTGTCATTCAGTGCAACATTATATTACAGTGCACTACGAGCAAAAAGACACACTAATTGTTATGTGTTACGAAGATAATGGAATCTAAACTCATATTATACAATTTTAAATGCTTTGGAGAATTTAGGGCTCACCTCATATGTGTATGAATCCAATCAATAGCCATTCTTGTCACTGAACTAGTTTCTAAGATTGGTGAATTTTGAATATTCTTCCCTCTGAAATTCTGCACATACAACCTTATATTTCTTGAAATTGGTGTCTATTACAGTGTTGGTGATCTTTGGTATGTTACTAAATCCGCTAGAACCAAAATTCTTTCATGTTGTGATTTTGCTATACCATGAGTGGACATTTTTGAATTGCCTATTTTAAATTTGCATTCCTGTTTTCTGCATATTATTTGGTTGAGATTCCTCTTCTTCATATCATAGGGTGAAAGGAACAAGATATTTCAATTGCCCCCCACTTCATGGTGGAATCGTTCGGCCAGACAAAGTAAAGGTTTGTATGCATTTGTATTCTAGAACACTTCGAAATGATTTTTTTTCCTGATTTTCCTATCAAGATGTGGAGTATATTATTGTTTGGTTCGATTGGCTGTTTCACAAGGAACATGAATGTGTTTGTTTTAAGGTTTAATATGACCTGTTAGCTCATAGGTTGTCACCCATCTGTGGTATTTCAATCGCTTCATGAACAGAACAATAGTTTGGGGCTCACCTTTTAGCCCTGGATAAGCTAAAAGTTCACCTATATCCTTCTTGGTATGGACTGTCATCCAATGTTGCAAACTGTGATAACTAAGTGATATGTCTTTGGTAGTTTTGTTAAGAGGGACTCGTAGATTTTGTATTACTGGGAACTGTTGCAAAAGTATGATAAATGAAATTTGTCAATGATTAAGGTAAAATTCGATATATGGAGTCCTATTTGACAATTTAATCTAGAAGGTGTGAGTGTTTTTCAATAAAAAAAAAATTAAGACTTTTACTGTTATACATTAGAAGAAGAACTCAAGGTTAAGGCGGGGAGTTAGCTTAGGAACTATTCCTCAATGATGACTTGGTTAATTGCAAATCGTGGAGTCAGCAATGACTGTTAAATGCAGTTGGATTCCTACCATTCTAGTGCACATACCTTTTACATCTGAAGTGTCTTATGTGAAATGAAATTGCTTTTAAAGACCTAATTGAAAGGGTTTCTTTATATTCATTCACAGCGGATAAGTAATATCATTGTAAAATTCTAACTTCAAACCTTTTAGCTAACAGTCTATTGAGTGCCTTTGTGTATTTCCTGCATGACTTGTTCATGGAGTTGACTAATGTGACTAATGCAATTTCAGGTTGGTGACTACCCTGAACGAGATCCATTCGAGGAGGATGAAATCTAAGCTGGTCTTAGGGAGAGTACTTATGTATTTCGTGTTTCTACATAACCTTTTTGGGGCAATCGCCCTGAAGTTTCCTTATATTTTTCAAGGTGTTATATTATTGGGAGGGAGGGTCCAGGAATGAAACCGAGAAACCTGCTGAGGTTTGAATAAGAACTCTTTTATCTAGTATTTACATCATTCTTGAACATTGTAATGGAGCCAATCTGCTTGTATGCATATCTGATGCTTTCTGCTGAGGTTCCCATTTATGTCATGCCTCTTTTTTCTTTTTTACTTTGCTTTTTTTCTTTTGGCTTGTCATATCTGTGTGCCAGATAACTGCATTTGGCACTATGAACTGACTCGGTGGCAGTTACAAATTAACATAGGTCTTAATTCTGGAACTGCCATTCATAAACTCTATCTTTGTACTTAACCCAGTTTTTTTGCAGGTCGGTCTCAACCAAGTGTTAATTGCAATATTCTAAAGAAGATGACCATACACTGTTATTTTATGTAGGCATACGTATGAGATGGCTTAGCTTTAATTGGTT